TCAGTAGCCCCCGGTCTAGCAAGGAACAGTGCAGTAATCGGGGGCTCCCCGAAGCCCTGAGGGTGCCTCTAGGGCTTAGGAGGCCCTAGAACAGATATATAATCCAAAACAAAGTGAGTGGAACAGCAAAACAAACAAGCCAGGCAACACAAGTGGCTTTGCTGCTGGGTGCTGCTACGCTACCTCCCAGAAGCAGAAGCAGCAGCAGCGGCAGCGGCAGCGATTGCTGCCGCGAAGGCCCAGCAGCAAGTGTTAATATATCCTTTTAACGGATTTAATTCAGCAGCAGAAGCCCTAAAAGCCGTCCCAGATAGCGTAGCCGGCGCCGCTGCAGCACAAACGAGCACGGGGGAGAGACGGGTGTTGCTGCTGCAGCACAGCAGGGGCTTGATGAATCCGCAGCAGCTGCTGCAAAAGGAAGAGAAACAAAGAGAGGAGGTGACTAAAGGAAAGTAGAGTCGCAGGCGCTTGTGGTTGCCGCGGTTGCTGCTGCTGCTGCTGCTGCTGCTGGGCATCGGCAGCGCGGCTGGCAACAGCGTGCAGCGACCGCAGGCCTTTCCCCACGGTATCGAGCCTAACGGTTTATGCAGTTTAAGGATCCGTTCTTTGTTGCTGACATTGTTAAATTCGTTTGTGCGGCTTCAAAAGGGTCATATTGACTCTAATCAACTCTTCTCAAGCGACAAACGAACAACGAAAACACGCACCAGCAGCGGCAGCCTGAGCCTCCACGTCGGCTTCGATGGAGCAGCCGCGCCGCCGACACCATCCAGAGCCTAACCCGCTGGCTTTTGCATTTTTATTTTATAATAGATCAAATATTTAGACTAGACTAACCTTTAAAGACCCATAAATCAACCTAATCACTCCCACGAACACCCTACTCCCAAGCAGCGGCAGCAACCAACCACGCAGGGGGGCCCTCCGCTGTGAGCCGTGGGGGCGGCGTTGCAGTTGGTGCTGGTCCTGGGGAAGCAGCCCTCAGCCCGGACCCATTTGGTTCTATTTATATGCAAAGATCTTGCCCTAGGACTCAGAATGAGTTAGTTTAGCTTCCATCCTCTCGACGGCGCTTCCGCAGGCAGGGCTGGCTTCGGGGGTGATCCGTCTTAGCGTGTGCAGCCCCGCTTTCGGCCACACAGCCTCTGCTGCTGCTATTTCCAAGTACTTGGCTGCATTCTGCAGGCCAGAATCGGTGCTGCTGCGGCCTTCATTTCGCCCAGGCGCTCCTGCAGCCCCCAGCAGCTGCAGCCGCTCGCAGCCGCTAAATTGCAGCTCCTGCTCAGCGTCTCTAATTACCTTTCTCTGGTCCCGAGTCACTTCTTTGCATGCTCCTATATTCGCCGGCCTCTGGCCACCCCAGGAGCCTGCAGGGCGTGGGGGCTGTGGCCTGGCTTCCTGCTGCGCAGCCCAGTGGCCTTCCCCCATGCTGCTTAGCACTTCTTTTTAGGTTTACAGACACGGCAAAGCTGCCCCTTTTCTTCCAGCAATTAATTGAATAAGGGTTTTAACTTCCAAGCTGGGACTAAGCCCCCACTCGCCCCGCGAAGCTGCGTTTTGTCTTACTGCTCTAGTAGCTGCCAAAGCCCACATAACTTTACTAAACAGTCTTCTGCTAGTCTCGGAAATGGCTCTTCCGCAGCTGTTAATTTAAAGTGTTCAGTTGTACAGGGAAGAAGCAGACTTGGCGGATTCCTCTGAGCGCGCCGTTGGCTTTGGCTGCGCTGGCAAGCCCCGCTTGTGGGTTGTAATTCTTGGCCTTTATTGAATTTCTCTGAGTTTAAGTGGCTCCTTTCATCACTTCTGAGCAACAAACAGGTCTTTAAATGCCATCTTTAAAAGCTCGTAGATTAGCCACCTCGCTGAACTCGCCAACAGCCTGCAGGGCCCACAAGCCAGCCACCGATTCCAGCCTCTTTAGCTCTCTTTGGCCTCCCAGCCCGGCCAAATAGGCCGCAGCCCTTAGTGCATGCGCATGCGCCTCTACAGTGCTTGCAGAAGCGGTGCAGCTGCAGCTGCGGCCGATATAAGTAGAGTTACTTCTAGCTGTCCCTGTTGGCGTCCCCGCGCCAAAGCCCACAGCACTTTCTTGATTAGCCCGAAGGCTTGGCGCCCCACAGAGTGACTAGAGAATGAAAGGAGTGAAGGAAAAGCTTCGAAATAACATGAAGACAAATCATTTTAATACTTACTTGTTACTTATTATGCTGCAGAAAGCGCAGCCAAGTCACCTACCTATCTAGGATGTCCCACTTCCCCCGTGAAATGCAGCGCAGCTATTGGACACAGGAAAAAAACTCTTCTGCTGTTAAGGCATTCCAAATATTGAACTTGATGCTGCAAATAATTGTGCGTGCGGGGTTGGCTGTTCTTGACGGTGTGGGAAAAAGACAGAAAAGGCTGTAAGTGCTTGTCCTTCCTTCGCTGCAGAAGTTGAGTTTGGGAGAAGGAAGAAGTTTTTAAGGCCCTTTCTGTCTTTCTAAAGTCTCATTTAGCAGCAGCAGGAGGCCATTAGTTCTCTTAATTCTCTTAACTGTCATTTTTACTAGAATGAAAATTCGCTTGCGTTTTATTCTTCCAGCCCTTCAGCTTCTGCCAGTATGTCTTGCTGCTGCAGCGCTGCTAAGTGAGACTTTAGAAAGACAGAAAGGGCTTTAAAAGCTTCTCCTTCCTTCTCCCAAACTCAACTTCTGGCACTTGGACTATTTATTATTTTCTTATGCACAAGACTGCTGCGCAGTATTTTCTCTTTAGCCAATTCGAATCAAAATGCAATTCAAAAGTGCTTTATTTGGGCTGCAAGGCACGCAATGAAATAGTATGGGGGTAGCTGCAGCAGAACGCATCGAAGCAAAACGCTGCACCTGCTGCTGCTGCCTGAGTCTTTGCTTCTAAGTTGAAACATTAGCGGCTCTGCTGGTGCTTATAGCCTTAGCTATAGCTTATTCTTAAGTGAGGAGCCTCGGGCTCAACCGAGTGCGCGGATCTGCAAGAAATGCCGCATTTGCAAAGAAAGCAGCCAACTGGAGAAGTAAAGAATGCAGCAGCAGTGCTGCTTCTGCCTTCGCTGCTGCTGCTGCTGCGCCTGCTGTTAGTGGTGGAGTATCTGCTGCTCTCCTGATGCTGCTGCTGACGCCGCCACTGGAATTGTGGCGCTGTTGTGGCTTTGAATAGCTGGGGTTGCAGCGGCCCTGCTTCCAACTGCAGCGGCTGTGGGAGTGCTGACTGCGCAGAATAAGCAAGATAGATGCAGTGCAAGGCACTGCTGCATCTGCAGCAGCAGCAACAGCAGAAAGAGCGGCAGCTGCTGCGGCGCTGCAGCTGCAGCAGCAACAGAAGCAACGCTGCAGCAGCAGACCACAGCGCTGCTCGCCCTGCAGCAGCCACAGGGGAGCCTTTAGCCCTCTCCTCTCTTTGCTCAATTCTTCTGGAAGCAAAAGGTAAGAAGTAGAGGCTTTGCTTGCCAGTGGCGTCAGCCTCCAGCTAGCTAACATCCCAGCTAGCTGACCAGAGCTTACACAGCAGATAGAAAGGCAGACAGATAGCTAGCTGGCTACCCGCTGCAGCTACCTGACTAGCTGCTGCTGCGGGGAAGCTAAAGTGGCTAGGCGCAAGAGCTTGTTCAGAATGGCCGCAGGCCAACACTTCGCAGTAGGCAGCCTTTGCTCCCTCTGCACTGCCTCCTCCCTTGCTTATCCCCCCTTCTTTTTTGCTTCTTTTTCTTAACTTTTTTGTCTCAAGAAGCAGAAACTCTTCTCCCGAAGACAGCATTTGGGCTTCAGCCTCTCGGATTTACAGGTAGGGCCTCGTAACTGGCGCATACACCGCAACTTTCTGGATAATCTGGATAGCAGTAGCCATCTTGCTGCCTAGACTCTAGCTCTCCCCTCCCCCCTTAGCCGCAGAAATATCCCAGGCAAACCAAAGCTGCAGCAAGTCTGCAGTGCTGTAGCGCTGCTGGATTGCCCAGAAAGGGAAGGATGAGTAGCAGAGTGGCCAGAAGCAGCAGCAGCAGCAAATACAACAGGCGACACCCGCAGCAGCGGGAACAGATAGCTTCAGGCTCCCACTGAAGCAGAGGTGGGGAGAGGAGCATGCAAACTTCAAGAGAGACGGAAAAGGATAAAATATGGAAAGAGAATTGGCGCCAAAGAATTTAAGTGAAAGGAGCTGGAGGACCGCAGCAGAGGTGCCCCGGGGAATGTATGCTCCTGACAGTAAACGTCAGGCTCTAGCTGGCTCTTCCAAAATAAAAGCAAAGCAAAGAGCCCGCCACTGCTCAGGATAACGCTGGGCTGTAGACAGGTGTAACTAGCTGCAGCTAACCAGAGGTAGCCACACTAGCCACAGATAGCCTCCTCGACCTGAGGAAAGCTCTGTCGAGGACTGAGCCGATTGGGAGATGACGAGAAACCAGATATCCCGAATATGCGGCCAGTTTATGCGTGGCCGGCCTGGCTAGCCACTAGCTACGGCTGCCTGCGCTGGCAGCCGTGGATAGCTACTGCTGGCTGTGGCCAGCTGTGGCTTGCAGTGCCTTGCAAGGAGCAGCTCTAGGCAGCTGCCACTAGTTACTCTTGCTGGTAGTAGCTGTGGGGAGGTCCAGAGCTTATATTTGAGGCTGCTAGAGCTGTTTCGGGAACAAGGGTTTCTGTGGCTGTGCGCTTCACTTCGACGCAGGAGCAAGTGCAGCGGCAAGTGCAGCAGCAAGCGCAGCAGCGGCAACAGCGGCAGCAGCAGAACGGCCAGAAGCAGCAGCAGCAGAAACAGCAGCAAGAGAAGCAGACTGAAGACAGGTATAACGTTTGTGTCTGTGTCCGTGTGTAACCTTTGCAGCCGCTGCACTTTTCCTCTACGGCGCGGGGAGCCCCCCTGTGGGTGGAGCTGCGGCTAGGTGGGTTTGCGTGTTGTTGCGCCTCTGCTGTTGCTGTTGTTGCTGCTGCTGCTAGGTGGGTTTGCGTGTGGTTGCGCCTCTGCTGTTGCTGTTGTTGCTGCTGCTGCTAGGTGGGTTTGCGTGTTGTTGCGCCTCTGCTGTTGCTGTTGTTGCTGCTGCTGTTGCTGCTGCTGGCGTTCCGGGGCTTGTGGGCTGGGGCTGCGTTGCTGTTGCTGCGGGAGCGGGGGCGGGTGCGTGCTTGAGCCACTGCAACAAGCTCGACGAAGTCGCCACCGTGTCTGTAGGGATACCTTTTCTTAGAGAGCAGCAGCATGGGCAGCAGCAGCAAATAAGCCCCGCAGACAGTGCCGAAGACACCCCACATGACGGCCTCTGCTGCTGCAGTGTCCGGGACGTCTGTGTAGTGTTTGTACAGCTCGTTGCTCAGCAGCGAAAGGCAACCCCCCACCATGCTGGCCACTCCCACCAGCCTCCCGTAGTTCACGGAAGTGAACATGTCTTTGATGTAAATGTAAACTTGAGATGAAAACATTGAAATGTAAACTGAAAAGCAACACACCGACACCATGTCGCCAACCAAACCCCGAGATATCGCCAGCCCGTAAGACAGTGCCCCCGCCGTGTTCACCACCAGCATTATGTACACTATCGGCACAAAGTCCGCCCTGCACCCACACACAAACCCCAAACCCTAAACCCTAAACCCTAAACCCTAAACCGGCACTGGTAGAGAATCTGAACCCCGAGCCGGAAGCTCAAAGTGTAGCCTGCAATTCACTTGCAGCAGGCAGCGAGTGGCTTAAGAACTCTTGAGAGGGGCAGAGTTGGATTAGAAGAGGAAAGGCCTTTTGAGGGTTTAGGGTTTAGCGTTCGTCGCTGGCGCACAGCCTGCCGAGGAAAAGCGTGGGGAGAGTGGAGAGGGGAATGGCAATGTTGAGGGCCTCTCTGGCATCTTCGAGGAGAAACTGGTTTGCTGCTTGTTGGTAGTAATTGATGGCAATGCTGCAGACTCCGAAGTAAAGACAAACTCCCACATAAAGGAAAGTCAGAGCCTCGCGGTGAAAAGGCTTGAAGAAGGAGTCGTCGGTGACGCTGCTGAGTTCGTCGACGTCGGGAATGGGGGACACGAAGGAGAGGGAGCGGCTCCTGCTGCTGCTGCTGCCCCTGCTGCTCCTGCTGCTCCTGCCGCTGCTGCTGCTGCTGCTGCTGGTGGGCGCGGGCGAAGCGAGGGCCACGGCGCGGGCCTCGGCCTCGGGCGAACAGCTGCGGCGGCGGGGGCCCTCGGGGGGAGAAGCAGCAGGCAAGTTGGGGCGTCTGGGGGGCGAGCGAACAAGAACAAACATGTCGACTTGAATGAAACCCCCCAAAGGAACAAAAAGAGAAACAATTATGAAGCAAAAGCAAGGCCCGAGGACTGCGTAGCCCCAGCAGACCCAGCGGAAGCTGACGCCAGCTGTCTGTACAGCGCGCAGCACCAGCGGCACAGCGAAGCTCAGCGAAGAAGCCACGCCCAAGGCCGTGAGGGCAAACCCCACACTTCCAGGAAACAAGTTTGCAATGCACAAAACTGGAATAAAGCACAAGTCCGAGCCGGCGCCAATGAGCACGAAGGCAGGCACCACGGCCCTGAAGGAGGCGTTGCTGGCCCCCAGAAAGACCCAGCCACAGATGTTGAGGGTCTGGCCCAGCAGCGCAGTCACCTTCGGGCCCGCAGTGTCCACCAGCAGCCCCGCTGCTGCGCTAACTATGAAGTGACTCGCGTAGCAAATGGTGAAGAGGTTCTGCACACTCGTGTCTTGGGCCCTGCACACGGGCTGCTCGCTCAGCTGCGCCTCGCTCTGCTCCTCCGTGCTGCACAGCCACAGCGAAACCCCCGCTTTGTACAGCATGCTGCTGAGGGGCCCCCAGCCGAAGTAGACGCAGGAGGTCAGCAGCGTGTACAGCATGTAGACCCCCAGCAGCAGGTACCGGTTCAGCCGGAAGGGCGTGGCTTGTGCTGCAGCGGGGTGCTCCACGGACGGCAGCAGCAGCCCGCGGCTCCGCAGCAGCAGCTGCGACATCCGGCCCCACCCGCTCTCCTCCCCCGCGCCTCGCGGCGCCCGCCCGCGGCTCCGGGGGGGCCCCCGGGC